TCAGTGGGGAGACGGGGCTGACAGCTGTGAGCACTCAGAATCAAACAAGCAGGGCTTCATGGGAATGGGAGGCACTGTGGACAGGCCTTCTGAGAAAGGCCTGGAACCCAAATTATTATAGATGGTGTTTTGATACAAAGTAAATGGAAGATGTTCTCCCTGCAAAAAACTGACATGGTGATGGGGTAGCACCAACCAAGTAATCTATCATGTGTACTAGAATGGACTGGGAACATTTCCTTTCCCAGGGCCTCCGACTGGTCTGACATGCTTGGTCAGAGAGCAGTAGAGTGGCCGAAGTCACAGTGGGGCCATTGCAGGGCCTGGGCAACAGGATGGAGAGGGCCAGACTTCCCATTCTGGACAAGATGACTAAGGTTGACATAGAAAAGCAAATGTTCTAAACGACTTGCCCACTAATACCACTGCCCCTGGGCTGCTTCCACAGTAGGTAGACCCAAGGGACAGTAGTGCAGGGCTGCACAGGGGGCTCCAGGTCCCACACACCATGGCTGACAGAGGCTGGGAGAGGCGAAAGTCCCCCATCCCCCAGGGCCCAGTTAGAACTTGCTCTGGGCTACCCTCAGGGACAGAAAGACAATGCCCAAAGGCATCAGCCCTCCTGGCTGGCCCCCAGGCTCTGCAGTAACTTCCAGGGGCTCCTGCACCTCCCGTGCCCAGCCTATCTGCATGAACTCATCATGGAGGTAACTAAGCTCCCCATCACCCTCTGTCACAGGCAGGACACAAATTTGGGAGACAACCATTGGCCACCAATCTGAGCTCTCTGCTGCTTACAGGCTGTGTGACTTTGGGCAAGCCTCAGCTTCTTTACCCAAAAAGTGGGCATAACAACTACCTCCCATTTTACAGAGTAGAGATGAAGATTAATCCATCTATCAACAATATATACTAAAGAGTGCCAGGGCAGTGTTTCTCAAACTGTAATGTGTATACACACCACATAAGAATGTTGTTAAGATCAAATTCTGACTTCAAACTCTGCAGAAGTGCCTGACAGCCTGCATTCCCAACAAGCTCCTATGCTGTACCTGTAATAATCCTGCCCCCAACCCCAGCCCCGCATCAGACAGCTTCCAGAGGGAAGGATCTGCACCTCAGTTTCTGGGAGTGGGTATACTGGAGGGGCTCGGGAAATTGATATTTGGGGAGTGAAGGACTGAACAGGGGTGCTGACAGGCAGGGCTTAGACACCCAGGACCAGCAGGTAACTCGGGAACAGTTGGTCACAGGACAGTCAGGCCTGTTAGTGAAGGGCAGACACGCCAACCTAGCTGTCTGCAGCCAGGAGAAGCTGGAGCAGGACTAGGGAGAGGCCGTTCTTCCTGCAAAGCTAAAGGCTCCCACCAGGCCAGTCCACCTCCTGGTGCCACCACCAGGCCCTAACACCCAGTCTTTTACTCTTGGCAGGACCAGGTCCACAGGTGTGACTAAAATATTGGGTGACAGGGGAGTGCTAGGCGCTGGGCAAAGATTGCTCAGATAAGGGAAATGACAGGTCTTTCCAGGCAGATGTTTTATTTTTCTATCTCAGTGAAAAATGTGCTTTTCAAATTGTCTCTTAACAAACTTGACATGGACAATAACGCTTTTCCCCTTAGAGAAGCTGTAGGGTCAAGTACCTCCCATCCAATATACACACATACGTGCATAATGTTTCTGCATTTCAGAGAAAGCCAAGAATTCTGCAAATGACCCCTTCTCTCAAGCTCCCGGGTTGGTGCCTGAAGTCCTCCCAGAGAATCAGAAAGCATCTCCTGGTCTACTGCATGTGCCCCCAACTTCAGAGGAAGGCCAAGTTCCTCCAAGTCAGAGGGACACACTGCTAAGTCCCTCTGCCCGGAAGGGGAAAGCAGGGGAGTTGAGGGTGTTTTCACGTCCTGCAGGGGGTTGGGGTGAAGAGGCCCAGAGCCTGCTCCCACCCCCCAACAAGAACAGGAGCTCCGTTTTGGAGACACGCACACACACATGCCTCCAGCATGGCTGGCTCCGGCTCCCTGTGACACCCAGGCCCACCCTCCTCCCTCCAGCCAGGTGTGCCTACAGCCAAACACCCTGCCCCGCTGGATGGTGCCAGAGGGAACCACGGAGCAGAATCCCACATGGAATGGCAACTAAAGCAGACAGGCACCTGCGCTGTGGTGTAACAGCCTGGCGAGGAGGAGTGCTGGGAGCAGGCAGAGGGGCGGGGCACCTGCAGTCTGACAGAGCCTGCAGTTAAGAGGCTGCCTGGAGGTGGTGGGGCATTCTAGTTCAAACACGAGCTCACTGATGTCTCCGGTACATCACTTCACTTTAGTCAGCCCCAGTGTCCTCATCTGTAACAGGCGGATTGACCTAGGATCATTTCTATGATTCCTCTCAGTCTAGAATCCTGGGCAGCATTACCACAGGCTGTTTATGAGCTCTGCTGCCTGGGCTCACATCTTGGCTCTGCCACCTCTAGTGAAATCTGCTTGAGTCCTTTTACCTCTTTGACCACAACTCCTCATCTGTAACACGTGAGTGAAGAGAACACCTACTCAGAGGGTTACTGTGGGGGTTCAATGAGGGCATGCCTGGCATGGAGTGAGGGCTTAATAAATACTATTATTCTGTGAACTCTGTGGCCTCCTGTGGCCACCATCCTTTCTACAGACTCAATGTTTGTGCCCCCCCATCCTAAATGCATGCGTTAGCCCTAACCCCAAAAGCGATAGTATTTGGAGACAGTGCCTTTAGGAGGTAATTAGGGTTAGATGGAGTCATGAAGGGTGGGTTCTGGCAATGGGATTAGTGGCTTCATAAGAAGAGGAAGAGAAAAGGCTCTTTCCTCTAGCAGACATGGAAGAAAGGCCACAAGAGGACACCAGGGCAAGGCAGCCACTTGTGATGCAAGAAGAACCACCTCACCAGACACCAGCCTGGCTGGTACCTTCCCCTGGGACTTCCCAGCCTCCAGAACAGTCAGAAATAAATTCCTATTGTTAAGGCCACCCATCTGTGGCATTTTGTTATGGCAGCCCAGCAGACTAAGACAACCCCCATGCTCATAAACAGAATCAGGACCGATGACTACCCATCCACGTTCCCTACTCTGTGAACGGTCCCTCCACCCCCGTTCCCCCACACCCAGGAGAATCAACATCACACACCCCTGGAGGCCACGTGCACAGTCTCAAGCACACACAGGGTCTACTGACTCAGCATGCCAAGCTGCAGGGTGCAGTCACGGCAACAGGATAGGGGGGCAGGCAGAGAGGAGGCAGGCAGGTGGGAGGCCACATGCTATCAGTGAGGGGTGGGGAGCTAGCACAGCCCGCGGCCAAGCAGCCCACACCGGCAGTGCCTGGCTCCTTACCTCCCCTGCAGGACCTCTGACCACCAGGACTGTGTTCCCCCAAGAAGCTGGAGGCGTGCTGGCAAGAGTAGAGAGCAGGAGACAGGGAGCAGTAGGCACCGAGCCAGGTCTACAGGAAGAAGTGCTGGAAAGGACCCCCATGGAAGGGTGTTAGGCTTGGGGAGTCCGTGGCAAAGTGCTTTCCAAGAGGCCCAAACGCCAAATGATGATCATCCCCAAGACCGGCCTGTGCCAGGAGCGCGAGGAGAGGGATGAGAGAGCAAAGGGAGAAGACCCCAAGAACTGGACCCCCGATGGGCACCTGCCCTCCTGAAGGCTGGGGCTGGGGCTGTTCAGGTGCTGATCTTGGCAGATTTCCTGGGATGGTGTGAACAGTCTCTTGGTGGGGAAAGGGACCCCCGGATCCAGGGGTATCAAACAGCCCTCAAAAAGCCCCAGGGTCAAAGGAGACTATGCCCTGCACAGGTGTCACTGCTAATCCCCTAGGACTCAAAGGAGACAGAGGAATGGGGTGGGTGACTCATATTCCAAGATCAATGTCAGTGAGTGGAGATTCCAATCCTGGCTCCACAAGAAATCTCTGAGGATCTTTGGGCAAGGTACATATCCTCTCTGGGCCTCAGTTCCCCATATATAAAATGGGGAGAATGTCCTTATCTACAATAGATAAGAAGGTGACGAATGCTCTAGCAATATCAGACACCAAATCCTCACAGGGCCACACAATTTTTTAGACCTTTCTCTGGGGGTTGGTTTGTGCTGGAATAAAATGACGACCAACCATCCAAGATTCCTGGTAACAGTCTGGGTACAGGGACTCCCAGGACCTCTCTGCTACCAAGGGTTCATAGATCCAGGGAGGAAATAGCCTGAAGCACAAAGTTTGGGGCTGGGCTTTTACTAACAAGTAACACCTCAGGGTCAGTTCAGTGGCAATATTTCTCCAGGTGGGCCACCCAAGCCCCGTATCATGAAATGTCTACATCACTGACCCCGTGGGCCTGGGTCCCCACCAGAGCACCCCTCACCCTGGGAACAGGTTCAGGCCTGTCACTGGACCCCAGCACCACCTCTCTGGGTCGCTCATAGCAGGTGCCCATCTGAGGAGTGACAGGCTGCTCTCTACTATCCAGCACCTGATTTGTAGTTAATATCAGTCATTGACAATAGGATGGCCCATTTTTAAAGCCATTCTCAACCTGATAATACAACTGATTCTTCTTCGTCATGGCAACTCTGTGAAGGCAGGTATCCAACCTTGTCTTACAGATAAGTGAACTGAGGCCAAGAAAGGTGATGCGGTAATTTGCCCAAGGGCACACAGTTGGTTAACTAGTTGATGGAGCCAGGGCGAGAATCTGAGTCTTCTGACAACTAGCTTGGTACCTGCCATCAGCCAGCATGCCCTGGAATGGCTGGTAACCACTGGTGTTCATCTGGCCGGCCAGTGGCTAGGCACTCCCAGGGTCCCAGAGTTAAGGATCTTAGATGTCAGCCCCTGCAGGCCCACCCCAACACAGCATCTGATGCCCTTCAGCTGCCACCTGCTCCCTGCACATGGGGACCACAGTGTGACGAGCTGGGCATGGCAGTGGGGAGCTCTGGGTGGTGGGAAGCCCCGGCCAGTGTCCACACCTACCTTTGATGACTAAGGCCTCTGCTAGCAGACGCATCTGATACAGGGGCTTGTTCTCCACAGACAGGTCGTCAATCCCGGCCCGTGCATACATACTGGTAGCATCTCGGTATGAGCCCTCTGCGTAATGCAGCTTGCCCAGGATCAGCATGGCCTCACACATGTACTGTGGCTAAAAGGACAAGACCACATTAGTAGGCTCCTGCCCCAAAGCCCCTGTCCCCACTGTCAACAGGTATGCTGAGAGAAACATCTCCCCCTTCCTCCCCCTGCAACTGAGTCATGCTGACTTGCCTAAGACCCTGCTCAGAACTCCCCTCCTCCTTGGGGAAGCCTTCTCTGACCCTCAACCACATGCCAATGGCCCCCTTCTCTCCATGCCCACAGTCCATGGTCTACACTGTAGCTCTTACTAAAATTCTTATTAAATCCCTGTTTTATGTGTGTGTGTCTTATGGCCCTCAACTAGACTCCAGGAGCTTATAGATTGTGCCCTGTCTTCTCTCTCCTGAAACTCCCAGAGGCTTCAGGCCAAAATTGGCATTCAGGAATTGAGGCACTTGTTCTCAACACAAGTGGAGAGTCAGGGATCCAGCTAAGTTTTATGGGCTTGAAGCTTATATAATTTGGGGGGGTCCTCTTTATGCACACACACACACACACACACACACACACACACATGCAGATATACAACTAGGTGAAAGGCTTGGAAAGTCTTGTGCAGGTGAGGGGCCTGAAGCCAAAGCCCTCCCACACCCGTCGCAGGGCCTTGGCAGGGAGAATGGCCATATCAGAGGTGTGACAGGAAGGCAGGAGAGTGAGGGCTAGCTGGCCCACCATCCTCATCTTGTATCAGAAGCAGGTGAAAAGTACAGAATCAGGTGCCTAAATCAAAACTTGTCATCTTTCCTCTACTTTCCCAACTGCTACTTGTGCCCAAATTCTACCCCATACAAGGACTCTGAGGGCCAGAGAAAGCCTGGTGCCTGGGACATGGGCCCAGCCCTGCTCCAAGGTCACCCACCCTCTGAGGCCGTGTATTCTAGCCCTCTGCCTCCATTCTGTGCTCAGCCAGCACACCGCCCCTTTGGCTCCGGCTCTGTCACCACCCCCACCACACAGCAGCAGTTCTGTCCCCAAAGCCCCTGCAGATGCAGAGCTGGCTCCACCCCAGCCTCCATCACTGGCAGGAAGGTGCTGCCCCTGACTCCCTGCGGGGGATCAGCGTGGGGAACCTGCGACCCTAGGGGAAGCCTCCACCACTCCACACCATTTACTGCCCTCTCAGATGCCAACTAAGAGAAACGGAACATGACAAAGCCAAATCCTTCTTCCTCGCCAGTCTATTCGCTGTTTGTAACCACAGGTCTTCCTTTGCGTTTGCTCACACAGGCCCCCTACCTGGAACTGCCTCCCTCCCCCTCAGTCTCTCCAGATTTTCTTCCATCCCTTGGGGCCTTGCTCAGGCCCATCACTTCCTGGGAGCCTCCCTAACTGCTGGGGAGCTCCTTTCTGCTGAACATCTACAGTGCCTCTACCAAGTGGACCCATTCAGCCCCTGCATGCATGACCTGCCCTGACTACTGATCAACTCAAAGGCTGAATTGTTCAAAGGCATTTGCTAGTCTTCCCAAATGGGCCATCTACTCCCTAGACCAGGGTCATGGATTACACACCCCTGGAGACACAGAGCCCAAGCTGGGCAAAGACTCTTCCATTCCCCCCACTGGTCTCACACCCCAGGCATGTTTCTTTCCTGCGCAGTCTCATTGTCCCCATTGGTGAGGATAAGATAATAATACCAACTCTCACCTCCCATCATAGCAATGCAAGTCCAGAAAAGAGCTTTGAACTTTTCTTTAGAATGAGCTAGATAAATACAGGGCATGAGTAATTATTATTATTATCCTATTTATAGGGAAGTATAAATGGGCAAAGGACAGGTAAGCTCAGAAGGACACATTTCAGGGTATGATGACAGGGTGTAGCCGGTAGTGGTTCCTGGTGGAGCAATGAGAGTTTATAAGAGAGCATCCACCAAGCTGGGGAAAATTTGAGGACAATGGTGAATGCTTCACGAAGCTAAATTTATACAATTTTAAAAGCCGCCCTTAATTCTGAAAGCTGTCTGTCTCGATTTTTGGTGTTGAGATGCTTTTCTTTTTACGGAGTGATGGTAACAGAAGATGGTACAGTTTTGTCATGGTTTTTCCATTTTTTGTTTTTGTTTTTGTGTTTTAAATATCCTTACTTGGTGGATTTAAAAGGTGGCTACCCTCTGTGGGACCTGTGCATTTGAATTTGAAATGTTCTTGGCCTGTCAATCTAATAGCCAAGGGATCACAGAGTTCCAGCCAATTGAAGGCTGATGCTAGACAGGGAGTCATTCAGTCTGGGGAACAGTCCCTCTGCTGGGGATCAGATATGTCACTTGGTCTTTTTATGCCTCAATGTCTCTGTCAATAACAAGGGCAGAATGGCCTCATGTTGATACCCAGATAAGGAGAGAACAGAGGAGGAAATACATCACAGATGTAAAATGGGCCTGATGAAAGCAGGCGTGTTATCATCACTGCTGCTAGGAATGCAGTTTCTCCATCATAACTTTATTTCCACTCCAGCACTCAGGGAGACAGACTGAGAAGTGGTAAAGAGCATCAGAGCTTGGGATATGGAGACAAACAGACCTGTGCTCAAGCCATGCACTTGCTACTGTGGTCCTTAGCTAAGTGACTAACCTCTGCTGGGTCTCAGTCTCATTGCCTGGAAAATGGGGATAATAGTAAATACCAGGGCAGAAGGTTACTGATGAGATGGTGCAATGCATGGTGGTCCACAGAGAGCCGAAGTTATGACGAATGGCTATTTCCGTAGAACTGAGCTAGACAGGATCTTCGAGATCACCCAGAGAAGATTTATACTACCCTAAGTGGGTACCTCAGGACCCACCTCTCCCACCTCTTCTCTTCATCCCATCAGATCTACTCAGGATGGGATTCCACCTTAGATTTCACCTGCTGCTAGGAAAAGTCACCCCCCAGGCACATCCTGGCCTTTGGGGTAAGATAGAGACTCCCGCAAACTACTTTTAATGCTTTATTCTGCCTGATTGACATCAAGTGGTTGGCTTTGGCCTGGGTAACACTGAATTTCTCATCGTTACTGGTGCCTATGTATATCTTTGATTAATAATGGATGGTAAAATTTGTACTTAATAAATATATTTTGTAGACAAAACAGTTTCCACAATACATGTGGACACATACTATCCAGCTGATACAAAGAATGAGGTACTGATGTAGACAAATCTCCAAATGAAAGTTCTCAGTGCAAAAGAGCAGCCTGTCAAATATGTATCCCATGACTCTAATAAGAAAAGAAAGCACTACGTGTGTGTGTAAGAGGGCTTATTAATGCACAGAGAGAGGCTTGTGGGGCAACACCAAAAGATGACTAGCGCTCAATTCTGGGGATGGGAATGTGTTGGGATGGGGATGGCAAATAAGGACTTTTATTTTTTATTCAAACTACTTATTTAGTGTATTTTTTACAATGAGCCTGACTCATTTTAAAAACAATTTTTAAATATTTAATGGGTCTACTAAAAAGAAAAAATTAAAAGGGCCCTTGGTAGGAAAAAACCTGGGACCTAACAATCAAATCCAACCCTTTGGATTAGCATACAAGGAACAGGAGGGTCCAAGAGGTGAGGGGACATGCTTGGGGTCAAGCAGCTATTTTAATCCAACACAAAACCTCCCAGAGCTCCAGTAATATCTGTCTGGGAAGTCTATAGCCAGTAACCTTAAACTTCTAGTACATTTCCCTAACAGAAAAGTCATCCACTTCTTGGCCTGATACTCTAGTCCCTGCTCTCTGGCCCCAGCGTACCTTTATAACCTAAATGCTCCCCATTCCCTTTTACTCCTGCTAACTGACATTCTTTAAAGAAATTCCCATAACAGTTACCATTAAATTACACATTGTTTCCTTAGCTTGGAATGCCCCTGTCCTATCTCTGTAGGTCTACATTCCTCCACACTTCAAGGTGCACACACCATCTAGGGCCAGCTCTAGTACTACAATAACCCTGAGTTGATTCCCTACCTCACGCCAGGGACTGTTCGCCTCGAATGTGCCTCGTCATATATAACACTATTGTGGCATATGTCACAGTCCACTTTGGACAATTTGTCAATTGGGACTTACCTTCCCAGTAAAACTTCAACTTCCCTGAGGGCAAGGTCCATGGTGGATTCATCTTTATTGCTCTCAGAGAACATAACACAATGCTTTGCACATAGGCTAAACAGCTCGGGAGACACTGTAGTCTAGAGCAATCTCAAACTTTAATGTGCATCTGAATCAACAGGAAAGCTTGTTAAAATGCAGATTCTCATTCAGATTCTGCACTCCTAAGCAGCTCCCACATGACATCCAAACTGTAGGTGGATGGGCCACACTTTGAGCGACAAAGATCTGGAGAAACTTGTGACTATACTTCCCTTGATATCATCCCTTGGTGACTTGCATACATAGGTGCTTGTGTACTTAAACTGCTTGCCCTGTTATTGAGCTCTTCTATCACTAGTCAGCTCTGCATGTTTGTCTGTTTCTAACTAGATCATAAGCTCACTGAGGGTCTTATTTCCCTGAGATACCCAGAGAGCCCAAAGTCCCAGGCACACACTGGGTCAAGCAAATACTAGCTAATAGAAATACAACTTCAACTACATGAGTGATTTAAGTTTTTCTAGTAAAAATTTCTGGACACATTAAAAAAGGTAAAGATAGGTGAAATTAATTTTAATGACATGTTTTATTTAACTTGATTTATCTAAAATATTATCATTTGAACATACAATCAACATAAAGAATTCATAATCTTTTCTATTCTCCATTTCATACTAAGCCTTCACACTCTAGTGTCTGCTTTACACTCCCAGCACATCTCAATTTGGACTAGACACATTTCAAGTGCTTAAGAGCCACACGTGGCTAGTGGCTACTGTATTAAACTGTGGAAAGCCAATCCTTAAGGGACCCTTACTGCTCAGGTGACCAGGGAGGGGCTTGACAGTAGACAGGAGGCAGGAGAGAGAGGAGAGGAGGCCCCAGGCTGGGGTGGTAAGTGGGGCGAGGTTTTGACCACTTACTGACAGCCTCCCGTGGTTAAGGATACTACTCAGATAGTTTCTGGCTTCATTCATTTTCGGCTCATTCTTCTCCTGCAAAGGGATGGAGTCTTTTATCTTGGCATGGTTCTCCTTCAAACACTGCTCCAGGAGGGCCTCAGCCAGGAGCAATTTCCCAAAGTCATCTGAAAAATAGGGTAGGATTCCCTGAACATGTAGCTGTGGAACCTGGTACATGCCTCTGTGCCCACCCAACCACCGCACCCCAGCACATGAATGGCTCAAGTCTGAGAAAATAAAGACACAGTTTTCAAACACTTAAATGGCCTTTAAGAAAAACACAGGCATTCTATCACAGTATAAACTGCCCCTTTGGGTTTATTTTCTGTAGTTTAGCGGTTGGAGAGGCAGAGTTCCCAGGACTTTCAGAATTTAAATTCAAAGTCGCAGAGTTTCAGAAATTAGAATGAGGACAAAACCACACCCATGCCCCATTATGGGTATTAAGTTCTTAAACCAAGAAGGAATTCCCCCAAACAATTGAAGAGGAAAAATATATGAGGCAGCTTAATGTATTTTCGTGAACACCTAATTTTTGTGTAACCACAATTGGTTTGCTCAGTTTTTAAGGCATTTTAACATAACCAGGGATAACCCAGAAACCAAAGCAAAGAGTTAAGGCAGGAAACAGATTTACCAGTGCAACATTGCAAACCCCTGAACATGTTTAGTACTGGTACTTTCTGGAGTTCTCTCACACATGTGCGCTTATCTACAGACCTCACTACCTAGCAGGTGAATTTGTATTGCTTGGTTTAATTTGCTGCCTCCCCACATAGCACTGAAAACTCCAGTCTTGTAACCACTCTATTCCTGCTACCTACAGCAGAGGCGATCCAGGCAGGGGTGGGATGTGTGTGCTCACCGTTCAGGGTTTGAGGTCAAGTGTGGCTTCATGGTGGCCTCAGGTGGCCACCTTCTGTGTGATTGGCTTACTGTCCCTGCCTTGCAACCAGGGCAAGGCCCGGACCCTTCACTCCATACAGGCACCCAATAAATAGCTGCTGAGTGAGTTGGATCCTCTCTACTACCCAAGGAAGCCATGAGGCTCAGGGAGTTAGGGGCCAGTCCAGGGTGCCTCCAGGAATGTCTGCTTGGTCCTATCTCTTTGTAGAGCTCTTTCTGATGCTGGGATGGCGTTCTCAGACCTCCCAGGAATGCCACTCACTCCTTACTCTCAGGTCCACTGAAGTCTGCTCAGAGCTCAAAGCCACTAGTCCAACACTGCCTGCCTCTGAAGAAGACTCTCTCCCCATAAGGGAGACTCCCCACAGAGAGCGTCGTGAAAGCCCAGGTCCCAGAGAACAGCCACAGGAGATTTTCCCTCAGAGGACTCCACAGCCTGTTAGCCATCCTTTGCTACCTACCTCATGATTTCTGAATTAACGTTTGGAAGAAATGGCTGAAAAAGGACCTGGTTCAAACTCTCATCTATTGTCATTGGAATATGTTGGTAGAACCTCTCTAAAGGGCAATTTGGCAACATATATTAAAAATATTTGCACATCCCCATTGAGTCAGCAATTCCATCCTTACAGATGTCCTTGCACATGTGTAAAACGACATATATATATATATAAGGCCATTCCTGCAGCATTATTTGTAATAGCAGAAAATCAGAGGAAGCTTTATGTCCATCAACAGGAGGCTGGTTAAATAACATATGGTTACAATCCATTAAAAAAGGACACCATACTACCATAAAAAGGAATGAGAAAGCTCTGTGTAAGCTGGCATGGAATGAACTCCAAGATAAATTCATAAGAGAGCAGAGTGCACAGCGGATGTAATAATTCACTATGTATTTATGCATAAAAATATGTGACAGGATACACAAACGTCTGATAACCTTGCTGGCTTATGGTGAAGAGGGTCAAGACGGGGGAAATTTCACTCTTTACTTTTTGGTACCTTTGGAAGGTTTACCCGTGTTAATATATTGCCTAGTCAAAAGCAAAATTTAAATCAACACAAGAATGAGGCACAATCTTCTCCATTTTCAAATCTCAGCTAGGAGGGGTAGTGGCTGCTTAGCAATGGGTGCCTGAGCTGCATTCCCGAGCTGAGGGCCACCGGGCAAGCTGTTCTCCTCTTCTAACCTGTTTGGCATTTGCAAAACCAGAAGTAAGTTTAAGAACCGGCTCTTCCGAGGGAACCCAGGCCCTCCACAGGCTCCGCCTCCCGGCCTGGTCCCCGCCCCTCTCCTCTGTGTGCACCTGCGCTGACAGTCCCCGCCCTGCACGGTCCATTCGAGCCCTCGGGCCACCAGGCCCCGCCTCCGCCACCCTCCTGCAGGGCCAAGAGCTCCCCACGGCTCAGCTCGTTGGTTTTCCTTTCCTGCCAAGAGAAACCAGCTTCCTTCCGGGCAACCTTCAATCTTGAAATACTCCCCAGGGCGTGCACCTCTCCTCAAAATAATGGGAGTGTCCTCTGAACCCTGCTGCTCAAAGTGCGGGGCGGGTCTGTGAGTGTTTGTGATCCAGTCCTGCGAGATGAGGGCAGAAATTTGGAGTACACGTTCAGAAACAGTGCGACAGAACGATTTTTCAATATGTTGAATCAGGTAGTAAAAAATAAAAGATACACAGTTTGTGTATCTGAGGAAAGTATCAGAGTGCAACAGGCAGGGAATTTAAAACCAAACCAAACCATAAAACTGATCCTTTATCACAGATCGTTTGAGAAGTACTGCTCTAAACCACAGGAGTGCCTTTTACTGCAAAAGGGGCGGCGAGGAGGCAAAGTTGTTGAGAGCCTAGTGAGTGCCAAGTACTTCATTACATAGTATCACTTAATCTTCACAGCCCTAAAATAAGGATATTATTCCCATTTTGTAGATGATAACTAAGATACACAATATTGTTATGGTCACAGCCCATTACACTAACAGCACAGAATAATAGTCTGTCTTCCCTGCATCCCATGCAGAACAGGGCTTCTGGTAGTTTAGGAATACCGAATAGTCGAAGAGCTGTAAATTGTAGTGTTAAAAGCTAATAATACCAAGGGCAAGGATAAAAATTGTTCTCACTGCCATATATCTGTGGGTTTCAAACGATTTTGTAAACTAACCCTTCAGGTCCTTCTCCTGAGCCTTTATGTTCTCCCTCTTCACTCCCCACCCTCCCTGGTTTTTGTTTAGCAGATGGTAGGTGTTGGGAATTTATTTTCTTTCCTTCCTTGTACAGCTCTCCTCCTCCGTGTTCCACTCTGCCTTCCTTTCCACTCTTCTTTCAATCCCACTTTTTCAACTGGTCAGTCTATGGATCTGAAGAATATTTTGGAATTGAAACTTTTAGATTTTCAGTTGTTAAGGAAGAATCCAGGTGGATAGAGGCCTTCCTAGCCTTCCTTCTCCCAAGGTAAAACATTGCCTTTTATTATCTGTTGTCCAAAACCTACTCCCTACCCTGATTTGGGTAAAGCGTTCCAGCTTCTCTCCTGCCAGAGGCATTAGGAAAAGCTTTCTGACAGACAGTGAAATAGATTCTGGGAGCCTGGGTACGGATTTTGGCAGGCCAGGCCAGCCCCCTGCCCTCAGCAGAGGCCCAAAGGAGGCCTCCAGTGAGTGGCCCTCCGGTCTCCCCATTCCATCTTGTTTTGAAGGCCTCTAGTGGCTGGCTACCTCTCTGCCCCCACCCCTTTCCAGGCCTCTCAGGGTGCCAGATCACAGGGACCTCCTTCCTGATACCAGCCTCCTTCCCAGAAACTGTATTTGCAAGGTGGTGTTTCCCTTTCCATGACCTGTCAATTCAAAATCAGGAAACCTGGGTCCAGCCAGACCGGCCTGGTGGTCGGACCATGCCTTCCCTACTAGGTCAAGTGGGGACACAGTGGCATCTGCAGCTGCTCACCACAGAGAACTGCAGAGGGCTGGGACCTTCCACCCACAATGACAGGAGGAAGAGGCTGAAACTGGTGAGAGGCCACCTGCCTCACACACACACCCTCCAACTTCAACTGAAGAATACTCAGAACAATCTCCAGTTAAAAAAAAAAAATCAGCTAAGAAAAAAAAAGATGGGGGTTAACCACAGATTAGGAGAGACTCAAGTTGGATGGATAGTGGGGCAGACATGTGACAAAGCAAAAGAATATTTGAATTAGGGGGTTAGATACACAGGTGTTCACTGCAAATTCTTTTTCAACTTTGCTGTATGTTAGAAATTTTCATAATAAAATGTTGGGGGGACAAAAGAGAAACTCAAGCTATTAACCAAATACAGTGAGAGGCCTTGTTTGGATCCTGATTCTAGCAAATGAACTATAAAATTAAATCATTAGATTTCTTTGCACAGGGGGAGTGATAATGGTATGATAGTTATATTTTTTCAAAAGAGTTCTTGTTTAATAAGTACATACTGAGATAATTCAGTGAGGAGGAGAAATGGGCCAGGGTGTAGCTCAAACAAGATTGCTCATGAGTGCAGAATCACTGATGCTAGTTGACGGATACATGGGATTCATTCTACTTTTTTTTCATGTTTTGGGAGTTTTTCATAGTATTCTTTTCTTTTTCTTTAGCTATTTGGATGGGCTCTTTGTTTTTATAACAAACCTCACCACAGTCAGTCACACTCTGGGGTTCCCCTGCTCCATCCTGACCTAATCTAAACCGGATGTAAGCTTGAAAGAAAACGTGCAAACAGTAGCAACCACCTTCCCCTGAACAGGTGGTGGGGGGCAGCTTCCCCATACAGGAAAAAGGTGCATGGGGCCCTTCTGCAGGAGAATCTTCAGATCCTTCTCTCCCACCAGACCTGAAGGAGGCTCCCATAGCTTGGTCCTCCCTTCTTGTCCTCTGGAGTGAAATAGATGCCCTAGGAGCTATTTTTCATTTCTGTAGGGAACCTCACAGAGGGCCTCAGTCTGCAAAATAGGGTTCAATTGGGGTTCAGCTTCCTCCTCAGTATCTTCCTCTCTCTCTCAAAATACCTAAGTGTTGAAGCTTCCAGTCACTGACTATAAGAGTGCAACAAGGCCAGGCAGGACATTAAGAATCTCCCTTCTGGGATGCAGGGGGTCAGCACCAACACCCCTCCAAAGAGCAGTCTCTCAATCCCTTGAGTGATCAAGGAGCCCTGCGGAGAGAGAACCAAAAGGGCAGGCAATCCAAAAAAATGCTCCAGGCACGGCCTTTGGGAATCTCATTTATTTTCCTTTCTTGTGTGTGTGTATACCTGTGTGTGTTTTGGGATAGTGTATCTGGATTTAACAGTGGGAGAAAAATCACTCAGAACCAAACCCAAACATTGGCTGTCTGGAGAGATCCCACTGCCCCTCAATCTCCCTCTTTGTGCCGTCTGCTCCCAGAGTGAAGCTAAGCCAGGCTCCATCCCCCACCTCTGTCACTAGTACTAGACTGATGGCAGGGACTCTGGCTCGCAGACAGGCTCTGCCACATGAGCATTATGTGACCTCTCTGAGCCTCCTGGGCTTATGCCTAAATGGGAACAATAACTCCTGTCCTCTCCACGGGGTTGTTCACATGAATTTTTTTTTAAGAATAGAGAAAACACTTTATAACTATATCATACCATTTATAAACTAAGGCAAGTTTGAGAAATATGGTATTTATACTCTGATTTTGGCTTATACATCATAGGTCCGTGAGCATATTAAAGGCTCTGAAAAGCCCTGCTGTTACAAAAAGACTTTAAAAATATTAAGTCCATTAGGTTCAATTTCTTAAGTTTTTGGCTCCCTACTTCCTTCCTGGGAGAGCAACTAATTAATTACTCAACCTCCTTGAGACTCCTAAAGACCCGGTTAGGAAATCAGCCCCATGTGGGCTTGGGAAGGCCTAGGTTCCCATCTTGGGCCCAGCAGGTTTCCCAAAGGTGCCAACCTCACTCAGATTCCCAAACTTGCCCAGGCCCCAGTGCCCACTCTGTGTGGGTCAGTTTGCATCCCATCCTCACCAGCCCCACCCCACCACATCACTCCAAACAGAGGACAGAGGAGAACCTTCAATTTCTCTATTCTGCCCTGGAAGAGCAGGGCTCACCAGCTTCTCTCATACATGCGCTTTGAGTTCTAACCACTGCTCCTCACTGCCATGCTCAGCTCTGCCTCAAAGCCTCAACCTGACTGTCCGTCCCTGCCACCCTCAGCCCCCTCAGTGTCCTTCTATGCTTCCTCCTCAGTCAAGCACACTCTGCCCTTCACAACACCAGTCAGAGGCCAGTACACGTTCTGCCTGAAACCTGCTCCCCTTCCTCTGAGCTCCACAGTCTAACACACAAGTGTCCTCTGATCACCTTGCTTCCTCCCCATCCATTTTGGTGACCCCCTCAAGTTCAGAAGTTGTACTCCACATGTCTGAGAGCTAACAGCCCAAGTGGTTAAAAGGATGGACTCGGAAACCTGGATTCAAACTTTGGTTCCACCATTTATTGGTTGGATAGTCAAGTTATTTAACTTCTTTGTGCCTCAGTTTTTATCTGTAAGTGGGGCAAACAAGAGTACCTGCTTCATGGGGCGGTGGGAGGTATTAATGAGTTGATTGACGTGCTTAGGACGACAGTGTGTGGCACACAGTGAGTGCTAGGTAAGTGCTAGCTCTTACTTTTACGACCATCCTTCTGTTTCCCCCCCAGAACGTTCCGCAGGCTGGGCAGTCTTTAAGCCTCCTCATATCTGTATGTATTTCCTCCCTGCCTCCTTCCGCAAGGATCTGAAGTGGTCGTGAACACAGAGAGGCTCTCCAGGTTGAGCTGAGGGCAGCAGGAGGAGGATTTGAGGTTGGAGAATGGGCGGGGCGTTCCCCCACTGCCACATCAGGGTGCTTTCCCGCCCCAGCACTAGAGCCCAGCCTAGCCGAACCAGCCCTACTACTAAAGCCACCGCTGCCAGGGCTAGACGGGTCCCACAGACCAACCACAGATGAGGAAACTGAGGCTTACCAGACCCCACCCTAACGCTCATCAACCTCCCCAGCCACATCTGCTGTGGACAGCGCTCCGTTGTCAACTTGACGTGGGGAGGCGGGAGGGAAGAGCAAAAAGAGAGGCACAGCCCTCATTTGACGGAGTTTAGGGGACCGTAGTTGGGGGTGGAGGGGCTGCGCAAGTGTCCAGCCCCAGCCTTGATCTGATCCCGTGCCGATACCACCATTTCACAGTAGATGGAGTTGCCCACATGATTCTAAAGAGCAGAGAGCGAAAGCTATTTCTCTCCCTCAAAGCACACATCTTGCGTGTGCTTTTTCTCCTGGGGCAGAAGAACCTTCCTAATTACCCGGTTGCTCTAAAACCAGCACAACAGGAAGGGTAATACCGAAGGCGGCCGTTGCCGGCCGGGGGGCAGTCGGGGCGCGCTTCCTGGAGGAGGAGGCGCGTACCAGGCGCTCCGTTCCTGTGAGCCAGCCCCTTCCCTCACTCACCAGCGTCCTGAGAGTGGAACGCGGCACTCGGGCTGGCTCGCCGGCTGCCTCCGCCGCCGGGCAGCACCAGCGTCTGCATCTGCCGGACCAGTTCGAGCATGCGGTCCCAGTGGCCCTCGGCGCGGCACCGCTCCAGCTCGCTCTCCATCTTCAGGTGGGAGCCGTGCGCGCCCTTCGCAGCCATCTTCTCGTGGGCGCTGTCATGGGCGGTGCGGCGGCGAAGTGGAGACCCGGCCGGGGGCGGCGTGCCGGCTGGGGCGCACTCGCTGGCGGGGCCTCCGGGGGCGCGGGCTGTGGCCGGGGCGCGGGCGGCAGCGGGGGCCCAGGCGGCGGGCGGACAGCAGCAGCAGGCGGGGCACCGCCCAGCGCCCCGGGGCTGGGGCTTTGGCCGAACCGCCCGGACGCGTCCTGCAGCAGTCGCCGCCTCTGTTGCAGCAGCTCCTGGCGCCGCCGCTGCCGCCGCCGCTGCAGTTGCTGCCACAGCGCCCGCCCCGGGCCCCGGCGCCGCCAGCTGCGGACCCACCCCGGGCCTCTGCTCCACCCCCACGGGGGCGTGGCGCGGCCTCGACGAGCCGGGCGCACGGGCGGCCGGCGCCGCCACAAAAGCCAGGCGCGAGAGGGGCGCTCGCTGCCGCCCCGGCGCCGGCCGCCCGCCGCCGGCTCGGCCCTCACTCTAATGCTGCGCGGAGCCCCGGTGCCCGGGGGCGTCTCGCTCCCCGCGCCCTCCCCATCCCATCGGGGCTCTTGGCGTGGGAGACCCCGCCCGACCTCCCGGCTTTGTGTGGTGGCCTCGTCACCTCTGCTCCGCCCGGCACGTCACAAATCCGGGCAGAGGCCGGCCGGCCGGTGCCCCAGCTCCGAGAGCAAGCCTCCCCGGGAACCCGCTGCGCGCCGGTCGGCCCTCCTGGGACGCGCGGGCCCCGGGTACTCGGAGAGACGTCCCGGCTCGAGCGCCTCGGCTCTCCGTATGCCTCCGCTCTGACGGGTGTTCTTTTCTTTTTGAACAGCAGAGTTCATCTTTCCAACATGACGCCCCCCACACTAACTAGACGCTGTCCTCTGAGGAATCCTGTTACCCTGGACTTCTTAAAGGTTTTTAAGCCGTTTCTCCAACTTCGTATTATTTCTTAATTCCGGTGTCTAAAGACTTTGATGAGAGCTGTGAAGAGCTCTCCGCAGGGCTTCCTCAGCTTGGCGCTCTGAGCTACTAAGAAGTTCAAAGGCTTACAGGGCGGCCTGGAGGGAGGAGGCAGACGACACCCTTTGCCAGGAGACCTGCCCCCTGGGTGACGAGACTTAGTCTCCCGTAAGGATTGAGGCCATGATGCAAGAAATGGCAGTAAGACCCCAAAACCCAAAAACAAACAAACAAAAAAACCTGTATTGAAGTGACATACTGCGTGGCACAAACCAAAGACTCCAGGAGATGGGACAGTCAGGGCAAACTTTTAAGTATAGACTCCTAAGTGTTCGAAGGTGTCCACCCTCCTCCCTGACGTGGATGTCTTCACTACTGCCAGACACATGACCTGCGGGGTGAGCTCGACCACTTTCAGTGTGGGGAGACTCCCTGCTTTGGGCTCCTGGACACCTGTAACTGTGGGAAGGTTTTTTTTGTCCAGCAGAGCCCAGGTTCCTGGTGTGAAGTCCCACTGGGCCCCTTGCCTCTGCAGCTGCAAGAGGTTCTCTGTTGAAGTCAGTCCTCCTGCGCACCCTCCACTCCAACTTCCCTGGATACCCTCCCCTCCAAGTTCCAAATGAAGCTCCATTCCTTGCTTGGGCGATAATTCCTGACCTTGGTTCTGCTCTGAGCACCTGGAATCTGTTCTGGACTCCCAAAGGCCAGGAGATAAATTAAGGAGAATCGAGACAGCTCTGGTAGTTGGAATTTAGGGACAATTTACACAAGTTCTTTGCCTTTTCCTGTCAACTCCTTTAGCTGACTTTTGGCTGCCCTTGCTGGTCACCAGAACCAGATTTCCTTGGAGAGATTGTGCACGACCTTTGCGTGAGGGTGTCCTGAGTACACCCTGTGATGTGCCCCAGGTCTGGCATTCCCAGCGTGAGCCCTGGGGCAGGCAAAGAAAAGCAGAGCTGATAAGAAGGAGGGAATCCTGACCAAAATAATGAAACCTCCCTTGACCCCTCTTCCTCCCACCCAGTCCTTTGCCAACCCTGTCCCCAGGCTGTAGGACTCCAGGGAAGTATCTGAAGGGGAATTGCTTATTCCTTTGACAAATGCACCAGTATTTGTGTGGTCATGGGGTTTGGGGGGAGGAATACAGTATCATGGTTAAAACTTAAAATGAGCTGCTCCTCAACACTGCGGAACACAGGCCTGACCCCTTTGCAGCTCTTTTACAGTAGAGACAAGACCTCAGCCCACTAGCAACCAGTATTTTTCAAGGGAGTAAGAAGCTGTAGGGGCAAGAACTGACAACAGTCATGAAATGTGTCAGTAAAATTTTTGTCAAACTAAAAGGCATATAGAAAGTGTGGTGGTTATTATTATTTTTTTAAATAATATAAAATCTCTCAGATGGGAGTTTAGGACAAATTATTGAAGAGTGCTGTTGCTTGCAAGCTCAAAAAATGCTACTCAGGTAACTTGCTGATCAGGCAACACTGAGTTTATTATCAGTGAGGGAGAACACAGCATTGACAGTCTCAAAGAGAGTTATGAAATTCACAGGAAGTAAATCGACTTGCTAAGAAATGTGTGTTTTCAGGGAGCAACGAAGATGGTATAGCAACTGGTTTAAAGGAGACTCTACACCCAAGCTGACAGACTCCACTCACATAGCTGCTGCCCCTCCAGGAGGTGGGGAGGCTCTGGCCACTGGATCATGAGAGGCTGCAGTAAATTACTGGTCTTGATTCTCATGAAGTTAAAGGCTTGGCAAGATCTCTCATATACTTAGAGGTTGAAAGGTTTTAATATTTGGTTAAGCACAGAAGGGGAGGATATTGAAGAGCTAATCTGAACTCAGAAAAAGCCTGTTCATTGGGAATACACTGCCTGCAGTGGCCAGTGGGACTGAGGGATCCTCAGAGTTGTCTCTTATCCCTTAGTTTTTGGTGGGTGACCCTTTGCACAGCTAGTTGTCTGGGATGTCTGTCTTTGGCTTTCCTTTGACACATTGTTAACTTCTCTATGGAACCCTTATTTATTCCCTCTATGGGCTAAAAGAATAAGCAGACAGGCAAATCAGTCTTGGAGCTCATCAACAAAAGATCATCCACATATTTAATAAGAATAGAATCACAGGGCAATTTAAGGCTTTTGAGGTCCTGGTTGAGGACATGTGAAAAGTAGAAGGGCACCTCAGTAAACTGAGGCACAGTGGTCTGAGTATATTGTTGGTTTTCCCTGGAGAAGACAGACAAGTATTGCCTTTTGATTTAAAGAGACATCAAAGAAAGCACAACATAGATCTTTTTTTAAAACACAGTCAGTCTCCTTAGGCCTTGAAGGTAAAATAGTATTTGAGTTTTGTTCTAAAGGGAAGTGGAGAGTAACAAATTTATTTGTAACCCTGGGGTCCTAAACAAATCTATATTCTTGCCCACTGGGTTTTTTGATTGGGAGGATAGGGGTGTTACAAGGACTGGAACAAGGTATGAAGACTCCTTTCTCTTTAAAGCTTTTGATATTAGTTGTATTCCTTTTTTTAGCACTTTGTTTTAGAGGATATTGTGTAAGTTTTGGGTACAGGTTGAACCTTGATAGGTTTAGCTTCAGTAGAATATGAGTAGTTTTTTGCCCACACAAGACACACAAAAGTACTGGTAAATCATAGCCAAATTAGCCAGGACCTCATTATGAATCAGGAGATCCTTAGAGACTGGAAGGAAGAGACCGTAGAGAATATTTAATGTGGCAATTCCATTCACACAGTAAATCCCTTGCTATTAAATTAATGAGTATAGTGTCACAAAGGAGAAAAGAACATTACTTATTTAAAGGTTTGAGGCTACCAGTAATGGGCTGGGGCCAGTGAAGGTGTGGTGAGGATCATTAGGTAAATGTGTTACCCAGAATGGTTTATTGACTCCAAGGGAAAGGTTGTTTAACAGTGGTCAGGTTTAAGATTGATTATCGTCCCCATATCAATCAAAATTGGTAAGGTTGTCCTTTAATTTTTAGAAAAATGGTTCCTTGTGGGTTTAAAAGCAAAATGGGATATTGAACACCTTTAGTGATAACTCTTTTCCTGTTAGTTTCTTAGTTCTAGAACTCTTTCAAAATATTCAGCAAGGTTTTGGGGGTCTGGCCATGGGGCTCTTTCCCATTCTACTTTGCATATTAAATCCCCTATTTCTGGTTCAAGGCCATTCACAAAAAGATAAGAGAGCAAGCCAAGGTCACATCTGCTTCAGGATCTATTCCTGTGTGTTGTCACCAAGTATTAAAGTCCCTGAACTCTCCAACAGACCTCTCCTTTTTTTTGGCTTGAAGAACTGAATCAGAGCACAATCTATTCTCACAGGAAAGACAGAAGAAAACCTCTAAGAGACCTTGATCAACTCTGCAGCTTTTCTCAGCCCCTTCAGTCTCCTATGCAATTCCAGGTCTCTTAAGCCACCTTTGGGGGTCTTCCCATTCTGACTTTTTCATTGAGCTTTTTGCACATTCCTACCAACATATGAGCTAATTGGTATACATCTGGTTGCTGTGGACTTTATGTCCCTCAATTTATTCTAAATTCCTCTGCAATGTTCTCTCCATTTTGTCTAGGCCTTGGAGTGTCTTTGACAGTGGCTTTCAGCTGGGAAAGAAACTAGAGCTTAAAATCCACCACAACAGGTTTTCTCTGCTCTGAAGGAGGTTGACCTTAAAGAGCTAAGTGAGCTTTGGAGTATCTGGCCAGCCAGGAGGGAGAGGGCGTTGAGTCAGAGGGAGAGGGAGGGGCAGCAGCAGCTGGAAGAGCACAAGATGGGGAACAGAGGATAGTAGGCTGGAGCTGTGATTTGGAGGAGGGATCTAAAAGTTCTAAGTTGCTCACATTTGTCTTTTGCTTTGGCCAAGGTATCTGTTAAGGAAGTAATTTTGGAACACAGTTTCTTTTGGATTTCCTCCTGCTGATAAAGGAGGATCATTGGCTGCTTAGAAATGTGTTCCCTTTTCATTCTAAGGCACTTCTCAAGGGAATAACTTGCTTCATATCAAAAGTTCCTCATGGT